AACTGTTTTTGAGAATAAAGTGCTTAATTTTTAGTTTCGTTTCAATTCTTATTTTATCTCATCTGATACTGCAAAGGTCTGGAATACAGTCACCTTCCAGCAGTCGTCAATATTTTGCTGGCCGTATAGATGGAGATTGTTGATCTGTATCATAAAACTTGTTGGCTTTCTTTTCAAATATTCATCATTATCTAAACAGCGGTGTTATGATATTTAGCTTTTTACTGATTTGTTGGCGTTGAAAACTTGAGAGAAGTTCCAAAGTGAAACTGTCGAAAAGGTAAAATGGAATTTTGTAAACATTGTTGTTATCCAGTTTTAAAGTTTTACTGCTATAAGATGTTTTTATCAACTTTTTGGTTTGATTTTACATTTCTTAATAGCATTGAGTGAGTAATAATAATCGGGAAATTGACTCCTGCGACATGGTTGGCAGAATTAATGAATGAATGATAACGATGTCCGACATTTCGACATGTCTAATTGTGGGACTTAAAGAATAATGATTTTTGATGAATGATTGTTAAAGACGTAGGAAAGTTTCGTCTTGTTGCTGCTGTTTACTTGGGGGAAGATGATTTTAGTCGCTTTGAATTTTTAAGCTAGTATATTAGTATGATATGGAGATCTGATTTTTTAAAGATTTTTTTCACCTTTTATAGATTCAAATTTTTTTGCTGTCGATTAATTTTATGTTTCTTGAGTATAATATTTTTGCAGCTGCCCAACCACAATACTTTGTTTAAAAAAGACATGTCATAATTCTAGAATTTATTTGACTTTCTTGGTCTCTGACTATAGCGCTAAACATCTAATTTCTGTTTGGCAGCACGCTACAGACCTTGGCGCAAATAAACAAAAAAGTTTACTTTGAATAAAATTCAAAAAAATAGATGAATTAGAATGGGATTGGATAAACTGTTCAAGAACAACAAAATTTCTGCTTACTCTGATGGGTACGGCTTAGTTACGGCTAATTTATTACTATTTGTATACTGTTGTATTTTGATGGAAAATAAAACTCACTTTTTTTTTATTTTTGATCAACTAATCATTCATGCAGAAATTTCCACTGCTTCTTTTTGACGCCTTTCTTTACTGGTTAAAAAATTCGCTTGAGTGGAGAATGAAAACACCATAACAAAGTTAACGGGGCTTTTAGAGTGGCTTCTGATCGATCACTTGGGTTTTGTACAGAAACATACGCTTATCGCTTTGACTTCCGGTTATCCATTTGATGAGTGACTATAGGACGACAACACCAACTGAACGGTGCTACCGTATGAGTAGCGTTCGCATCCCATTCTGCAGCCATACAAAGAACCTATTGATTTCCTTTCCCCAGTTTTAGATTTTACTGTCTTGCGACTAATACCTCTTTGTATTGGCTCTGTGCATATGCTTTAATGTCCTTTAAGACTCTAGCCTGTTGCAGAATAAGCCAGAAGAGTATATTTGTGGTAGAATACGTCGGATAATGAAGTTTTTTTTTGCACCTGAACGTTTCTCTCCCATCTTCGTTACCACAGCGCGGTCTGCTTTTGTGCAGTGAAGGGAGTCTCGTATAACTATGATAAATTTTTTGAGTGCTTCAAATTTTTTGTTCTGTCATTTTAGATTAAACAACAATTGATCTATTCGACTTAGTTTCTGTATAGAGTAAAAAAATACTCAAAAGCCTGAAATCTTCTACATTCTTCACTAAAAGCTAATAATTTGAGTTTAATTAATACAAAAATGATAAAGGTTATTTTACCGACAAATAGCCATAAGTTATTAAGTTCATGTAACAGAAAAATTTGAGCTTGTCAAAACGAAAGATTGGTCTACTTTTTAATCCAAACTTTAGTTATTTTTTCAGTGCCCAAATAACAGTCTTATTGGTTTTATACAACTAGCAACATCATGCAGAAATGAAATAGTTCCATATGCTGAAAACTTATGGACACC